TTCATACTATTATTTTAAAGGGGAAAAAATATTGACAAAAATGTACAGACAATTATAATTGTACAATGCTTTTGAATAATAAAATTGAAAATATTCCAATACTTCCTGAGCAAAATAATATTTGTACATATATTTTAAATTAAAGGGAAGTAATAAAAATGTTATAGCGGATATTGTGTTGAAAATAAGGTAATCACCATAGCAGGGAATAAAGTTGCACGGATAAAGTGTGGTAAGACAGTGACAGAGCGTATACATAGGCACTGTAGGCACGTGCCTACATTTTTATTAATAAGACGTGAAACAAAAGCGCAGAAAATATTAATTTACGGAAAGTGAGATAGAGGTGCCGGTGCAGGCCCGAGTATGTAAAAAATAATCAAGTTCATCTTATTTGAAAGTATGCCCTGTTAATTAAGTTATATCTTAGTTTATAACGCCTGTGTGGCCATCTCATAAAGTTGTTCTATTGGTAACAATAACTATCAGTGACGGATGACGTTGTTGACCATTTATAAAAAAAATTGAGCGTTTGAATTCAAATTGTAAATATTGCAAATATGGCCGACCAGGATACACCATATTATAAGGATACATTCAGGGTCATAGCCAAACTAACTGGTCATCTGTATTATAAAAGTCAACATATTGCATGTTGTGAAGGTTGGCAAAAATGATCACTGCTATGACACGATGCCGTATAGAGGAATTACAATTACGATCTGAAAATCTTGAGTAAGCAACAACTTTTCTTGCTTTCCTTGTTTAATTTGACTATGAAAAATATAGTTATCTTCATTGGAAACTGATCCAATATAATATAAATTATCATATTAGATCTATATTAAATGTCATACTCGTGCATGGTAAAAATACAAAAGAAAATTGTTGTGACTACTTAAACAACACTAAATCAGTTATTTACAGTTCTTGATGATTTAAAGATTTTAGTTTCCATCCCACCCATTTACATGTTTATTTTTTTTATCGAAAATTGCACTCAGATAATATTTTGTTTGTTAATGAATACATTTGTGTTTTGTTGCTTTAAAACCGTTGTTACAATTACAACAAACTATATTCATTTCTGAATTTGAAAGAGATATTAACTAAAATAAAAAAAAAACTTTAAATGGGTAGACTTTAGCAATTTTTTTTCCTATTTTTTTTTCATTTTTTTTTTTACTATGACAAAAATAAAACTAGATTCTTTTTCTTATTTAAGAAGACTCAAGAACTTAAATTGGATGTTATATTTACGTATTTCAAATACTGAAGGGAAGTAACTTCTGCAAATCGTAAAATCTTTGTTGTTCCCCTTTATTGTCAACAAAAACAAATATCTCAAAAAAAATCTATAAATCGAAATAAAAATTAATAAGCTGATAACAAAACGTGTATATAATTTAAAAATTATTAATATCAAAAGTAAATGAAATGTAAATTTTATATAATATTTTTAATATATACGATTGTATACGAAATTATAAATTGTAAGTAAACCGTTTTTATATGTTATATTGGTATATATGCCAAATAAATATCTAGTCACGTCGGCAACGTCGGCATGACTATAACAATTATATAATGCTCGACTTTTTCTAAACGCAAGAAAAAATTCAGATTTTGGAAGTTCTCGTTGACTATAGCGAGAACAAAAAACAATTTCATTGATGACAAGAAAGCGGAGCAAAGTTTGATGTGTATTCGAAAGGACCAATAAACTTTTCATTCGAGAAAGAAGAACGTCAAGTTCAGATAATTATATTATAAGTTATAATGTGTAAATATTATAATCCGAGTCGCGTTTATTGCAAATAAACGTTTTTATAATACTGCACGTTTGTAACGTCGCTTTTCATTGGATAATCGTGACGTTTATATAGTTTTATATACACGGCTGTTAACGATTCATGAAGAAATCTTACTTTTTCTCTAAAAAATGATGTTTGCTGTATTATAAATTCGTTATAAAGATTGTTGACAGGTTATATGGCCGCATATAAACGACCATTTGCAATATAACCCTCGCCTAACGGCTCGGGTTATATTTACAAACAGCCGTTTATATAGGGCCATATAACCTGTCAACAATCTTTATAACTAATAATATATACGTCCATATACCCCGTCAATTTTTATAGCGAATTTATAAGTGAGATTTCTTCATTAATTGACAGCAGTCTTGTATAATTATGTGGAGGGTAGTGTAAGATCGGAATTTATTTCACCGAGTGAGCACCAAAAGGTATATTTCACGAGAGTGGCGCAGCACATATGAAGCTCAGATGGAATTTTGACCGGCAGTTCCTTTATTTTTTAGACCAATCTCAATAAATATTTCAATTAGGGTTTGTTTGAATGTTAAGCATCGTTTGGTGGTAAGATTTTGTAAAAAAAAACCTCTGTATTTGGCGTCCGTTTAGCGACATGTTTTTCATACGCTTGCATATTTTGGGGACACCAGAACCAACGACGCAAAGAATATCGCGATGAAAATGCATAAAATTCCGAACAAAACTGGGATAATATAGAGGAAAGCCAGGAGGGTGGAATGATATTTCGATTTTCTTTAAAAAAAAGCTTTGAGTTTGATATGAATGTTTAAAATGTTGAAAACTTACCCTGTGATTGGCCTATTTTCTCCTTCACATATCGAGTTATACTACACATATTGAGCAGCGTCAGATTTGGCCAATTTTAAAACAGATCGTGTTTAGGGGAAGATGAAATACTTTAACCAAAAAAGATCTTTGAAGCAATCGATTGATATATTTAAGTAAGTTACGTAACAGTGTTTTTCACGACAGTGTAATGTTACTACGTATTATTTCTTTTTAACTAACACCATGCAATTTGGTTTGTCATTTTTATAGCTAACCGAAATTTCAGTCATTAGTTTGCATTGGTTATATTTGAATGTCACTAAGCATATCGACCGGTAAGGCCCAGCAGGTTTAGATTCTACCCCGTCAAGCACAGACACTTGGGGTTTGGAGCTCAAAACGCCTTTAAAATCCAAATAAAATGCATATTTGTCAATCCCAGCACATGTACTGATCATATATATCAAAAAAAAACTTAATATAAGCCGTTTTGAAAAATTTTCATATTTCAACATCTATAATAATACTATTATAGATTATGCGCTGGGATTGACAAATATGCATTTTATTTGGATTTTAAAGGCGTTTTGAGCTCCAAACCCCAAGTGTCTGTGGGGGTTGGGGTATTTTGATGTGTTCGTTGTATGAAAAAAATGTTGTAAAAACGCATATTTTGTTGTTGTTGTTGTTTTTTTCTTCTTCTTCTGGAGATATTTTTAAACTAACTATGCTTTAAGATTAAGCAGGTGGTTGGATTTAATAATATTAAAAGCGATGCGAATCTTACTTATTTTTATAAATTGGAAAACAGTGAAAAGTCGAGAATTAACAAGTTAAATGGCGGGGGTGCGGAGTGAAAACATGTTTATTAGCGAGGGCACAGGGCGAAGTTTAATAAGTAAAACGTCGCCACGCGGCGTCGCGAAGCGAAATTTAAGAAATAAAACGGTGGTGGCGCGGGGCGAAAGCACGCTGATTACGGAGGCGCGGAGCGAAGTTTAATAAATAAAATTTCGTCTCGCGCCCCGCTAATTAGCGTGTTTTCGTCCCGCAACTCCGCCAAGCGAAAAGTCGAGAATTAACAAGTTAAAATGGCGGGGGCGCGGAGTGAAAACACGTTTATTAGCGAGGGCACTAATAGCGTGTTTTCGTTCCGCGCCCCCGCCGTTTTATTTCTTAAATCTTTCCCATGTGCCCACGCGGGGCGAGGTTTTACTCATTGCTGGAAGGATATTATACAATTGTGAAATACATGGAATGTATTATTCAAATTGAAAACCACTGTTAAAGCTACATGCCTCCAGATGAGCAAAAATATTCCAAGAAAATCAAAATCAAATTTTTAAAAATTGAGAAAAACATACTAACATTTTACGTGTGGGGTCAATTAACTCATGATTCTATAAATTATGTATATACCAGAGCTGCCATAGGTACAGTGGGAATTTTCAAAAGACACACTGGCCCGGGTAGATATTTCTCTTGGATGACCCTATATGATGAATGTCTATGATTATAACACGAAATCCCTTCATTTATTTCAAACAACAACAAAAACTGTCACATCTAAACCACTCAAAATATTTAAGTAACCAAAGAAACGGAGTCCAAGATTAACGGATAATATCAGCAGTCCATGGACAGTAATTCTATAACAATAAATTTGTGCTGATTTGATAATCTCCCTTTAATTAATGATCAGTAAATTTTATATCTCTGTCATCACTGCAGCAATCTGTCATCACCTGGTGCCGGTAATACAGTGTGGTGTGCCTTTAAAATGCATTTTCATAATAAAGTGATGACACCTAACACAGTTATATCAGGCAAGTCAAAATAATATACATTTGAGCCTGACACTTGATGGAATACAAACATTTTCAGCCATCAATTTTAAATTTTTGATCTAACAGCACAGGACTGCATGGATAGTTTGCCTGGCTCTACATTGGTTGCAAAAGCTAAATCAGTTTTGACTCCAGCAGGGTAAATATTATTCAATAACAAAATTTATCAAGTAGTTTCTTTTACCGATTAGATTGGCAACCTAGCTATAAATACATGTAGTAATGTGTATCTCTCTTTAAAGCTAAATTCATCAAGATGAATGGAGAAAATTTTAAAATATCTAACTCCAGCTAACACCCATTCTCATATATTCCAGGTCTGCCTTAAGCATATAAGATACATTGAACAATTGTATATACCGGTATATCATATCATCTTGTATTGCTGAATAATATATTATATGAAGACTTTGAGAAATGTACTGGTATAAATATTTTCAATGCATGTTAAAATTTCAGAAATTAATTTATTTTCATTACTTTGTTTCAGTCTCCATATTTGCACTTTATTACTAATGAACACACTAAATATAATATTTAAGGAGACTTTGTGCCAGAGCTGAGACTAGCTCAAATGGCAGGAATATTGCTTTAAACAAATAATAATTAACACAAGAATTATCATATATCTCATTTTATTCTCTGAACACTTAAAAATGACAATTAAAGTACAAATATATTTCCCACTTTCATACAAAGAACACAAATCATAACTTTCCACAATGAAGGGAAAGAATATTTATATGAAATACATCAAATAAAATAAAGTCTTTTAAATAATAAACATGTGAATGATAATGTTGATATTGAAGTCAGGAATGTGACAAATGCCCTACCATCCATATGACATAGGAGTTTATGTAGGTCAGTTACTCAGTATTTTTTTTAAGATGGACAGTTGGGCATGATTCAAGGAGTATAAAAATGTCTGATATCTGACCTTCAAGTGTGACCTTGAAGTAGCACAGCTGCTGCATGAGTTATGCATCTAACCATGTTGATGTAAGCATTTAACCAAATTGAAGAAAAGTCTTCAAAGGGTAAAGGATTAACAGAGCAGACATGACATTGTCTTGACATTTGACCTTCAAGGTGACCTTGAACATGAGACAGCACAGTCACAGTAGGGACATAAGCTCTGGACATCTCCCAGTTGAGGTGAACATTTGAGCTTAGTTTCTCTATGGGGTATAGGATTTATATAGCCAAAACAAATAGTCTCATTTTTGACATTAAATGGTAACCTTGACCTTTGAAGCAACAGTGTGGCAGCACAGGTTCTATATATCACCTTGCTGATGTGACCACTTGAGTTAAGATAGAAGGAAATCATGCCATGTTACAAAATATGTAAGAAGATACCAAGTTTTGGACATTTGGGCTTCAAGTGCAACCTTGACCTTGATATGCAGCTGCATGGATTCTGCTTTGCTGAAGTGAACATTCCAGCCCACTTCAAAAGAAGATCCTTTATAAGATTTATAGAGTGGAAGCAAAATTGTCAGTCTGATAAATGTCTCTCTATGACATTGACCCAGCTAAAGGATGGCATAAGTCTGAGGCAAAAATATATGCAACTGAATAAACTTGATAAAATCTATCACAAAACTGTGCAAGATTATTGCATTCAAGACAGAAGTGTTTGACAGTGAAAAAAAATTAATTGCAAGCTATACTCAAAGATGCATCATCTCCTTTTTAAAGATAATAATGCCTCTTAGTTTTAAATAGTGCACATTTTCTTGGAAATTCATAATCAAACTCATTGAATAAAAGAGATAATAATCACATATAAACAAATAAGGGAATAAATAAAAAGTTTAAAGAGACCGGCTCTAATGGAATGAAAGTACATAACGATGTTACACATCAATAATACAAATATAAAATAACATCAAATCATTAAATATGCTTCGAAACAAAATTCCTTTATATGTAAATACATTTCTTCAAAATAAACCTCCCTCTGTGCCAAGCATATAAATGTTTACCATATCATGAATGAAAAAAAATATCAGAAAATAACAATGTAAAATGAAAAGATTTACTGTAAAAATAATACCAAATAAATCATACTCTAGAATTAAAGATATTGCATACAACATACATGTACAATCATAATTTCAATGTTTTTAAAACTTTTTAATAATAAAATTACTACGACCATCTGTGATATAAGTAATACATTTGCATACAACCACCTTTGTGCACACATACATATACAACCACCTTCATGTACACATACATACACACTCACATACAACCACCTTTGTGCACACATACATATACAACCACCTTCGTGCACACATACATACACACTCACATACAACCACCTTCATGTACACATACATACACACTCACATACAACCACCTTTGTGCACACATACATATACAACCACCTTCGTGCACACATACATACACACTCACATACAACCACCTTCATGCACACATACATACACACTCACATACAACCACCTTCATGTACACATACATACACACTCACATACAACCACCTTCATGTACACATACATACACACTCACATACAACCACCTTCATGTACACATACATACACATACATATACAACCACCTTCATGCACACATACATACACACTCACATACAACCACCTTCATGTACACATACATACACACTCACATACAACCACCTTTGTGCACACATACATATACAACCACCTTCGTGCACACATACATACACACTCACATACAACCACCTTCATGCACACATACATACACACTCACATACAACCACCTTTGTGCACACATACATATACAAGCACCTTCATGCACACATACATACACACTCACATACAACCACCTTTGTGCACACATACATATACAACCACCTTCGTGCACACATACATACACACTCACATACAAGCACCTTCATGCACACATACATACACACTCACATACAACCACCTTCGTGCACACATACATATACAACCACCTTCGTGCACACATACATACACACTCACTCACATACAAGCACCTTCATGCACACATACATACACACTCACATACAACCACCTTCATGCACACATACATACACATTCCAAACAACCACCTTTGTGCACACATACATATACAACCACCTTCGTGCACACATACACACTCACATACAACCACCTTTGATTCTTAAACATCCAGTAAACTAAAATCAAAAGCAATCATCTTAAACTGTCCAGCAGTTTTACACAAAGAGTCATGATAATTTTCAAAGTTGATATTTCATTGCTATAAAACTGACAACAAGAAATATCCTGTTGCAGAAAAATGTTATTCTGTTACTCAAAGAAGAAATCCTGTTCTGGTACAGAATAATCTTACAGCTATGGATATCCTCTACTGCTATAATGTGTAAATGGAAAGGTTCACTATGAAAAATTTGGTGTACACCATGTAAACTCCTATTTATATCGCAGTCTGGTATACAGCAGGCATATTTCCATGGCGATTTCAAGGTCAAAACATTGTATTTCACTATCTTTACATCTAAAATACAGTTAAACTGGCATTTGATATACAGATAAACTTGCATTTAACATATTTAACAAACACATAGATTTTTTATATGAATTTATATGCTCCACAAAATGATCATTTTTTCATGAAAATCCCAATAAAAAATACATATTGACAAAAAAAAAAACTTCTTCAAGGATATAAAGCTATAACTGACATATATGCAATATAAAGATTTTAGTCATATTGTTTTCATACAATTGTAATTATTTTTCAAAAGAAATTTAACGAATGTCTCTGTCAGTTACACAGGTGAATAGTGTAAGTAAACTCAAACAAAATTTCTCTTACATTATTAATATTCCATTGAAATTCTATACGAGTTTAGCGATGAAACATTTGTACAAGCTACTCATATCAACATACAAGCAAATCATTCTGCAAAATTACAGACAGTCCGATATAGGTTTATACCCTTTTAACATTTAACTTGCTGTAACCAATAGTGATTACCCTTAGCCAACAGTATACAACAAGGCCAGTCTGCATAACCTTACTGTCTGACCAGGCTCTATACTGTTGACAGCTCAATTTTTGTATCTCAATACTTAAACTTTTAATGAACTGTTCTAAATACAAAGCAGGGTAAATCAACTGCACACATTCTGCAGGTGAAGGATTAAAACAATCATTATTAACCAGCAACAAACAACATTTGAGCCATGTCATGACAAAACCAACATAATGCGTTTGCGACCAGCATGGATCCAGACCAGCCTGCACATCCATGAAGTCTGATCAGGATCCATGCTGTTCGCTTAAAAACCCTATAACAAGTAGAGATAATGATAGCGAACAGCATGGATCCTGATCAGACTGCGCGGATGCGCAGGCTGGTCTGGATCCATGCTGGTGGCATATGCATTACGTTGGTTTTGTCGTGACGCGGCTCATTTTACATTCGCTTAAATCACTATCCTTTATCCTGAGTTGGGAGACTACCAACAAACATGACATAAAACATGACATAAAACAAGATAAAAATATATATATATCTAACAATTTGCACATGTCCCATTCATATATGTACACAACGTTTTGAACAGTTTAGTTTTCCTCCTGAAAATCCATATTTTTGTTTTGGCAACTGGATTATCCAATCAGATCACATGTTACATATGTCACCAGGTTTAACGAGTCTCTCAACAAGTTAACTAATTCAGGCGGGAAAACAAGCAAATCAGACATGCCAGTATCCAATACTGACAATATGTTGCATTTGACACTGTTATATCATATGTTTCCTAGCTTAAATGTCTTTTTCAAACACTGATGTCTACAACTGAGAACCAATCATTCCAGATATGATATCTGGTTCCAGGCTTTTTTGAACTTTAAGCAACCAAAACCTTTTGCAACCAGGAGGCAAACCTTTCATAACCTGTTTCTAGGTTAAAATTTCAGGTAACAGTATCATTGTAACCGGGATTCAATCCTATCAGTTACATCAGCTGGTTTCAGGCTTTGTGAAAAGTTCAATTATTAAAAAGTCCAGCAATTGGGCAAAGATCAAACCATGGTTCCTGGCCATGATACAACACGTAATGACACAGCTCCTGTTGCCTGTTTGAGGATTTCTACAGCTTTGGCATGAGCCACTTTCTCTAGACTAGTGTTGTTTACAGAGAGGATCATATCCCCACACCTGTAAAATACAAACATAATGTAATGTGTTCAATGGTATGATTAAAACATAACGTTGTACAGTGAAACATGTGCATTTACACCAATTTTTTAGAAGTTGTTAACATGGTCTTTGTTCACAAGTGGTCACTTGTCACTAAGAATATTTAGTTATTACAATGTTATTGTCAAAATGCCTATCTAGGTGACAGGTTTTGTACATGTGATATCTAATTAGATATAGTCTTTTCATCAAGTTTATGAATATCTTAAAGCACAAGGTAAGCATATATTATAATTATCTAATCCAATTTCCGTTGCTAATCTAAGAATCCAACATTATCTTAAATTTCCATTTTACAAACAGGGGAAATATCATCAATGTTCAACTCATTTTTAAGAGTCTATTTCTTCTAAAAACATAATATATTAAACATTTTAGCTTCAGATTATTTATTATGCTCACCTATGAAGAAAATACTTAGCTTTTTTGTTGTAACAAATGTATACATAAGAAACTTACTTGAGCCTGCCATCTTTGAAAGCTGGGGTTTCTAAGACAACAGATTTTATATATATAGGAAGACAGCCCTGGACACAGTCTGAACCTCCTACCACGGAGAAACCTAGACTGCCTGTAGGGCTCCGTAATAATGTCACAGTCTTTATATTTTGGCACAAACTGCAAAACAACAAAATAACAGCATTTTAGTAATGATTAATCCTTTGAAATATCTATTTATGACTAATATTGCTTGTTTAAATGAGGGTCTTTCTATATGAAAGACCCTGTAGAAACTGAGTTTTACAACACTTTTTTCCCCTCTTTTTAAAATGGTTCAAGCGAAGTCATTGAAATGTTGTATTTTTAGCAAATTTATTTACAGCTGACTACATTAATTTTGTAAAACCATAGCACGTAAGAATGCTTCCCTCTGGAGTGTTTTACTACTGCCTACTATTAAATCTTAACTGGTTACTTCTAAAGGGAGGGAACGACTGGATTCTAAAGTGAATAGTCAATGTCAACAGTATAGAGCCAGGCCAGCCTGTACAGTCATGAAGTCTAGCAAGGCTCCATACCAACTTGAAAATTTCATCTTGATACCCCAAAAACAGACAATGAACAGTTTCAAAATGGGAGCTTGACAAGTACATTTAAGAAATTTGGCAGGTAAAAGGTTAAACTCAAAACTTACTTAGGTAGCTGTTGCCAGTATAACCAGCTAGGCACAAAGTTTGATGGACCAATACAAGTCTCTGGCGCCTCAACAATTTTCAATGTAATGACCTTTGACCCTGTATTGGCCTTGACCTGGGCTACAGCCTCTGGATGTGAAAGACCAAGAAGGTTACTGCTATTTATATTTAGCAATACATCTCCTTTCTGAAATAAGATAAAGATTATTTAAAAATATGAGATAATACTCAAAGTAAACATGTATATGTAAGTGTGAAGTACCTCAAAAATCATGGAAATTCTTTAACAAAATATAAGGAAGTTGCATTCTTTTTCTTAATATTAAAATACAAGTATGAAAATGTTAAAACATCGATATGAAACTTTAAAATTAAATGTTGAGCTGAATACTGAATTATACCATGATTAAAATCATGGCCTACTTCTGTACCTAAATTGAGAAAAAGATGCCTGTAAATGTTTGCATGAAAAGTGTAACCCAAGTGCAAAATCATCCCTTAAACGGTATAAAGCTATATCTTTTGAAATATTTTTATAAAATATATCAGAAGTAAATTTATTTTGCTTCCTTAATCTTACAGTCGATCATTTAAAGAGTTGTAATAAAAGATGTCTCAGTTATTTAACACACATGAATAGTGAACTTAAACAGAATAAAATGTTCCCGAACAAAAAATTATTCTGCTATATGAAATAGGGTTTTATCTGTTTAGCAATGTTTTGTACATGCGCCATGCACTTTTAACACAATTAACTTTTGTATTTATTTCACACAAGCATTTTGGAAATACTCCTTTTGAAAATTTAAAAAAAAGAAGATTTTTTGCAGCAGATATATAGCTTTAACTTACAGGTACGTTTCAATGGAATATTTTGCTATGGAATCTTATGCTGTTAACTTATTATAACATAGAGGTACTCTTTAATCAAATCAATTTCTTAAGAAGTGGCAAATTTATGACCAGGTTTATTTGAAATATCTGCACTTCTCATTAAACATAACAATACAAATTGATGAAATGTTTTCACTCTTTGATTTAAAATGCTTAAACACATTTAATTGCTGGTTTTATTTACACTATTAAGGAAACATATTTGAATTTTAAATATATCATATGCCACTGAATGAATTGTTAATTGATTATTTTAAGATGATATAATAAAGATCAAAGGCTTGAGTGTTTTACTACAGAGCACCTGCACATAAAACCATGAATTTACTTACAGTCACAACAATAAATGTCATGATGAAATGTTTAATTGTTGTTTTTTTTTATATTTTAATTTTTCAATTTTGCTATATTGCACAAAGATATTTTTTTTATTCTTATAACTATTAGCAGGATGAAAACTATGTAAGAATATTTCATATGACAATGATATATTGTCTCTCACATTCCAATACAATTAATTTATAAGCATATGTTATTATATATCAAAGGGGGCACATAACACTCTTTTTTAACTATGAATGAAGGCCAATTATGTGTATAAGTTCAGTTCAGTTTAATGGCGATCAGCAATAATTTTGCCTTTGGCCATTTACAATATTTTCAACTTAGAAGAATGTTCTGCACACAATAACGGCAAATTGTCACTTAAATTTATATATAATTTATTACTGTTAAATCAAAGTTAAATATATAATCAAAACCAACATAATGCGTCTGCCACCAGCATGGATCCAGACCAGCCTGTGCATCTGGGCAGTCTGATCAGGATCCATCCTGATTGCTTACAAACCCTATAACATGTAAAAAAACTTATAGTATGGATCCTGATCAGACTGCGCGGATGCGCAGGCTGGTCTGGATTCATGCTGGTAGCAAACACATTATGTTGGTTTTGTCATGGTGCGGCTCTTATTTTCTATACATACCTGAACCTGTCCCGACTTTCCTAGGCATCCTAGAGGGTTTATATTTGTGATATAAACAGGTGTGTCTCCCCGGGGGTTACCTACTCCACCAGCTATACTTATACCTAATGTTTCACTGGGGTCCTGAAATAATAATATGACATACTTTAAAATTATAAATTGAAACTTTCGTTTCTTAAAATACAGTAACAACAGTAGCATATTTTAAACTTTGCATCAAAATCTAAAAGTACATGTGAGTCATACATTTATATGAGAAAAAAAAATCATTTCAGATATAAACCAAGAGTTATTACTAGTTAAAAAGATTTTAATATTTTATATGACAGACTATATGGTTACAAGCATATAAAACTATAGCAACAAGTTTATGTTATGGCAACCAACTTCATACAAAGCCATTTTACATGTTAAGAGTTTTTTTTATAATGAAATTATAATCATTATTTATTGTGATTATTATTAATTTGATTATAATTAAAAACAATTAATAATTTTACAGCAGCCATGTATGTAGTTATTTATGTATAAAGTCACAGCAGTCTGCTGACCAATGAAAACTGAAGTACATTTTTAACGAGTAGTATTAAAATAGGTAGTATTGCCTAACAAGATCTACCTTCATATAAAAACTGTAACAAGCCAAGAAAATGACAGTTAACTTTACAATTACACCATATTACTTGGTTTTTATATTATTTGTATAATTGATACACGTATTTGAATTGTAGCGAGGAAGAACTATCAAGCTAACTCAGGGAAGATCATATTTTACTCAGATACTTGTTCATGTATAAACTGGCCTTGAGGTTATTAAACTTTTTTTTTTCTGAATTCAGTCTCAAATCTCAGGATTTTCATTGGTCAGTGTACATGTTGAGCTTATTTCTGAAAAATAAGATACTGCAGCTTACAAAATTTATACCTAACCTTGGTTATAGAGAATAATAGGTTGGTGCCGTGGATTGAGAAAGTTTATCTGGCGAGGCGGAGGAATTTATTGGGTGAGCCGAAGGCGAACCCAATAAATTCCGGAGCAGAGCCAGATAAACTTTCTCCATCCACGGCACCAACCTATTATTCTATTTATCCTGTCACCGTTTTTTTTAAAGAATTTTATTAGGCAAACAACCTTTAATCACACTATCGGAAATGTTTCTATATAAACAAAGAAGGCCCTAATTTTTCTACACCAATGCACTCGCCGTTCTTATTATCTCCCCGTGTATTTTCACATTGAGGGCGCCATTTTGTTTGAAAAATGTGATAAATAAAAACAATTTTTTGTCGAATTTTGTTGTGAAAACTATCTAGAATGAAAGAAAATGGTCTAACTAAGAAAATGAATTCGAACACCAACATCTTTTATTCAGTCGTTAATGCTGTACAGACGTTTAAAGTATTGTTTACGTGACGTCACAATGTAGCGCCAAACAGCACGTGCAAAACAATCAAATCAAGTACGCTATTCTAAAATGTCGCAAACAGTTAAGTTTTACATTTATTTCACTTTAAATAATTATTATTTCGCTTGAAAAATTAAAGAGTGAAATAAAATAAACAAACAAAGTTTTATCAACGTTTCCAAAATTCGTTATTCTACACACAGAAGATTTAACGACAGTTTTTATATTTTTTCTTGAAAAGTAGTCCGGCAAACATGCATACCACGTGATCAAGTGCCGTAGATCAGTAAAAATATACGGCACCTTGTTATCGGGCCGAAATTGAGACAAGTGACAGGATAAACAGGTCTTCCTTTACCAATGGCCTTAAGTCCTGAAAATTGTTCGTGTGTTTTTAAACTCAAACTTTGATGAAACGAAAAGGAAAGAATGCAATTTCTTGCATGTCAGACAGGATTATCTACCGTTTACACCCGTGCTAAAAAACCCTGTCTTATGCCCCCCATGTAAGATAAGTCGCATGCTTTATAAGACGTCATTGTCCTGGGCCTTTTTTGAATGAATTGCGTTCATAGGATGACGTCATTTTTTGGTTTTGAATAAAGTTTCAAGTTCAGAAGCTATTATAAAAGAAAAGTGCGTAATGAGTATATCAGTTTCATAATTTCTGTTCTGCAAATAACTGACATGTAATATGCAAGAAAAAGAATCAAACACCAGCTGTCGGTACATACAGGAATATCTAGCACTCGGGCAGAGCCTCGTTACCGCTGTAAACAGTTACCCTCAAGCTAGATATTCCACTCTGTACCGGCAGCCAGTGTAAGATTCTTATAATGTTTGCAGTCAAAGTAGCATGCTTACCTTATTAATGCTGATGTTGACTTCGCGACATTTTCTACACATGGGCCAGCTTGCATCACCAGGGTCAAGGTCAAGGCTACATAAAGCCTCTGAGGTAGAACGGATGAGATCAGGGGTCTGTGGACGACTTTTACGAGATATCACAAATTGCACTCTATCTTGACTAGACTAATAGTAAGAAAATCACAAGAAAGTTATTATACATATTCAGGTTATTTCAAGTCTTACCAGTAAAACAAGTTTTAAATTTTTTCCATTATGAAAACAAAATATTAAATGAAAAAAAGAAAGAAATAAATCAAAAGTGTAACTACTAACTTGAAACAATTTATATGTCTATTATGAGTTTTCTCCTAATCTTATGTACAATGAGCATTTCATCATGCCATCTCCCCCCCCCCCGGCAATAAAAAAAAATTGTATCTTTATTGTTATATACCCTAGGGTGTAACATTACGATGTCAACTTAGGGCAATTAAGCCAAAAAATACATTTTACACACCTGTATAACGGTGGCAGCTTGTTCTTGAGAACTGTATGACAAATCTTGACCATTTATTTCAAGGACACGATCATCTGGTCGTAACCTGCCGTCTATAGCTGCAAGACCATTTGGGACCTGTACACAATATAGAAAACCAGTTAATTACCTTACCTATCTCATATACTCCATGCAAAAATATCTTCGTTAAAACTTTCCCATTATTTTGTTCAGATTAAGACTCCAGAAATGTTGAATAATTTGAGCGTTACAAGGCTTATACGAAAACTTAAAATGTTGAAAAAATGACAATATGAAACCATTAGGAATCTTAAATTCCAAAGATCTTTAGGAAAATTTCTATGCCTAAAAATCCTCTTGTGCTAATAGAAAATAGCGTATCTCGGAAATATGCCATTCTGAAGAATTGCAAGAGATTAAAACTGTGCAGGGATGTGTTTATATGCTAAGGCATGAGCACTGGTTCAACATAACATTTGTCAACAGGTTGTATATCCCAGTGTAAACAGTTGTAAGTTTATATTATCCTAAGTGACAAAGCAAGGGTTATATTGCAAAATAAAACAACATTAATACATGTTTATATGACCAAACAAATCTGTATTATAACAAATGGAAAATACTGCACAATAATTGCTTTCATTCATTTAAAATCTGATATCATTATATGCAGCATTGGAATATATTGATAATATACACATAATGATTGACCAATAAAAATCAATGTTACAAATCAAAAACACTCAGTCCTACCATGTCTAAGAAGTCATTGAACAGAAATATTAAGACAAAATAAAAATCAGGTCAATACTCAATCTGTGACTATCAGACAGTACAAAATGAAGGTGATTGATCAGAGAGAAGAATGTTCATCCATCAACATTAAGGTCAACATACATTCAATTACATCCTGGATCATCAGACCAATAGACAAAACCATCTTCATGTGGTGTATATGTTAAATAAATCATACCTCAAAGTTCTCTTATATAATTGAGCCACGTCACGACAAAACCAACATAGTGCGTTTGCGACCAGCATGGATCCAGACCAGCCTGCGCATCCCTGCAGTCTGATCAGGATCCATGCTGTTCGCTTACCAACCCTATTACAAGTAGAGAAACTGATAGCTAACAGCATGGATCCTGATCAGACTGCGCGGATGCACAAGCTGGTATGGATCCATGCTGGTCGCAAACGCACTATGTTGGTTTTGTCGTGATGCGGCTCAATTATCAAGTTCAAAATTCTCAAGTTTGATTTTCTTGAAATAGTTTGGCTCATCTGGAGGTATGCAGCTTTAAATAAATCATGGCTTAAAGAATCTCTAATACCAAACATTTAATCTACAGTATGTTACCAAAAGTGTTTACCACCCAAGATAATTATAACATAATGTATTTTTAGGTTCACAAGTTAAAATAAATCATTGCTGCTCAATATTTTGATACAATGACAAGTTACCAAAATCATGAATAGAGATTGAGTAAATCATAAATAAATTTGATTTGCAAATATTTGTAACACAGAAGATATTGTCAGATAAAGAGTAGTGATGCATGATAAATGTATTGTATTCTTAGAAGGGCATTAAATTAGGGCTTAAATTCACAGGCATCTAGAAAATTTTCAATGTTATTTGGAAATTTAGGAAATTGTTATAAGCGGAAAAGATATTCTATTACATGTAAGTTTTTTCCTGTGGGCCTATTGCTTATTTCGACCACTGCAATGGTCATGAAGTAACACTGACTATAAATCAAGAAGTTGCAAGTACAATTTCCTAGTACTCCCACTAAACTATTAATACGGTAGTTTATTTGATAGATCAAGGGACTTAAAAAAACTAGCTGTTGAGAAAAGAAAGGCCTGTATAAAGAATACTTACCAAATTGAGAATATATACACCAGTACCATGCCTGTAATGGAAAATTAAATACATGACAGGAAATTCACATAACCAGGTTTTATGCAAAAAAAAAAAAAATTGTGCTATTTTTTTTGAGTTTACATCACACAAACACTGTCAAATGTTGAATAGCAATTTCCCAGCTTTACTTGTGGAGAAAGACCTGTGCAGTGATAAACACATCTTCAACAGGTTCCACCACAGGAGCTTGATAGTTTGTCAGTAAATTGATATTCTGTCAGCAAAAAAGGATTAAAGTTAAATATGTACCCCTTATATAATGAATATATATAATATAACAAGATATGTTTGTAAAACATGTATGCCCCCTATCAGCAGCCAATTAGTCATGTGATAAGGTTATTATGCATGACGTCTGACCCAGTGATCAAACAATTAATAAGGGTTATAAAGTATCTACTGGTCATGACCTTGACCTTTGACCCCTTGACCCAAAACTCAATAGGGGTCATCTGCTGGTCACGACCAATCATCATACAAAGTTTGAAGTTCCTAGGCCTAGGCGTTTTTAGTAAATTGATCAGAAACCGTTTTTACCTACAAGGTCAATGTGACCTTGACCTTTGACCCCTTGACCCAAAAATCAATAGGGGTCATCTGCTGGTCATGACCAATCACCATGCCAAGTTTGAAGTTCTTAGGCCTAAGGGTTCTCTTATTATTGATCAGAAACCGTTTTAACATACAAGGTCAATGTGACCTTGACCTTTGACCCCAAAATCAATAGGGGTCATCTGCTGGTCATGACCAATCACCATGCCAAGTTTGAAGTTTCTTGGCCGAAGCGTTCTTTAGTTATTGATCAGAAACCGTTTTTACTTACAAGGTCATTGTGACCTTGACCTTTGACCCCTTGATCCCAAAATCAATAGGAGTAATCTGCTGGTCATGACAAATCACCATACCAAGTATGAAGTTCCTAGGCCTAAGCGTTCTTGAGTTATTGATCAGAAACCGTTTTTACTTAAAAGGTCAATGTGACCTTGACCTTTGACCCCTTCCCCTAAAACTCAATAGGGGTCATCTGCTGGTCATGACCAATCATCACACAAAGTTTGAAGTTCCTAGGCCTAAGCGTTTTTAGTTAATTGATCGAAACCGTTTTTACCTACAAGGTCAATGTGACCTTGACCTTTGACCCCTTGACCCCAAAATCAATAGGTCATCTGCTGGTCATGACCAATCACCATACCAAGTTTGAAGTTCCTAGGCATAAGGGTTCTTAAGTTATTGATCCGAAAGCATTTTTACCTACAAGGTCAATGTGACCTTGACCTTTGACCCCTAGACCCCAAAATCAATAGGGGTCATCTACTGATCATGACCAATCACCATCTCAAGTTTGAAGTCCCTAGGCCTAAGGGTTCTTTCATTATTGATCGGAAACCGTTTTTACCTACAAGGTCAATGTGACCTTGACCTTTGACCCCTTAACGCCAAAATCAATAGGGGTCATCTGATTGGTCATAACCAATCACCATACCAAGTTTGAAGTTCCTAGGCCTAAGGGTTCTTTTGTTATTGATCAGAAACCGTTTTTAATTAAAAGGTCAATGTGACCTTGACCTTTGACCCCTTGACCCCAAAATCTATACAGGTCATCTACTGATCATGACCAATCACCATACCAAGTTTGAAGTTCCTAGGCCTTAAGGTTCTTTAGTTATTGATCAGAAACCGTTTTTACCGACAAGGTCAATGTGACCTTGACCTTTGACCCCTTGACCCCAAAATCAATAGGGGTCATCTACTGATCATGACCAATCACCATACCAAGTTTAATGTTCCTAAGCCTTAAGGTTCTTTAGGTATTGATCGGAAACCGTTTTTACCTACAAGGTCAATGTGACCTTGACCTTTGACCCCAAAATCAATAGGGGTCATCTACGGATCATGACCAATCACCATACCAAGTTTGAAGTTCCTAGGCCTTATGGTTCTTTAGTTATTGATCGGAAACCGTTTTTGTTTTAAGGTCAATGTGACCTTGACCTTTGACCCCTTGACCCCAAAATCAATAGGGGTCATCTACTGGTCATGACTAATCACCATACCAAGTTTGAAGTTCTTAGGCCTTAAGGTTCTTTAGTTATTGATCGGAAACTGTTTTTGCTTTCAAGGTCAATGTGACCTTGACCTTTGACCCCTTGACTCCAAAATCAATAGGGGTCATCTACTGGTCATGACCAATCACCATACCAAGTTTGAAGTTCCTAGGCCTTAAGGTTCTTTAGTTATTGATCGGAAACCGTTTTTGCTTTCAAGGTCAATGTGACCTTGACCTTTGACCCCTTGACCCCAAAATCAATAGGGGTCATCTACTGGTCATGACCAATCACCATACCAAGTTTGAAGTTCCTAGGCCTTAAGGTTCTTTAGTTATTGATCGGAAACCGTTTTTGCTTTCAAGGTCAATGTGACCTTGACCTTTGACCCCTTGACCCCAAAATCAATAGGGGTCATCTACTGGTCATGACCAATCACCATACCAAGTTTGAAGTTCCTAGGCCTAAGGGTTCTTTAGTTATCACTCGGAAACCATTTGGTCTACGGACCGACGGACCGACAAGTGCAAAGCAATATACCCCCTTTTTTTCAAAATGGGGGCATAATAAATTATATAGGCAGAACAAATTTAACTTTAATTCTTAATTATTAACAGAATATTAAGCTCCTGTGGTTCCACACATGAATCATATGAGATTCGAACCGCGGTAAACTGGTGCAGGTCAAGTCATTCATTGTCAGTCAACTTAATTTGCATCTTATCTATTTACATGTATAATAAATACTTTGTGAAATATATAGGTTGTATTAGAAACATAAAATCTGGACTAAATGCAAAAGACACATTAATACAGGTGAAACAATAACCCTACATTTACTTCAATAATCATCCATTGCTGACACTGGTTTATTTACAGACACCCAGATATTATAAAAGAGCTATTTATATAACAAGCAGTGTTCTGTCTCCAGACGGCAATTATTAAAGGAAAAAATATCAAACAAATACTCATGTATTTCTCTCTATGTTTACCTGATTAATCAAAACCAGGTCAAATCAATCATTGAAGAAAATGCAAATGTTTTCATTCAATAGCAAGATAAATCTATACCAGTTCTATAGATCTGAGGCGATAACCTGGCATGTTGTTTTCATGCTAAAGGTCACTAACAAATACAGGAAATAGGTGTAGTCAGACAATGTGAATTTTTGAACTTCAGAAGTTCTCATATCTGATAATAGAGTAGACATCAATCTTTCAAAGTATATCTTTTAATATAAAAAAATTATATATTTACCTTTTTCCAACCAACTTTATACCAAGCTGCTTTCCTTTTGTTTTATTCAGTGTTATCTTTAAAATTTCTGAAATGAAAAAAAAAATTAACATTTTAAACCTAAAGAAATGCATCATATCATCAATTATAGATACTTTATAAAAGTTCATCCCTTCCTGTTGCTTGACATGTTGCTAGCATCTCCCCTTATTTCTAATGTTTGAATAATGGTAAGTATACCCTTAGTTTCCATCAATAATTTGAAACTTGATGTTAAAATAATTTCTGAGCTTATATCTGTTACATGTACTTTCATGTCCATTTCCTCCAGTTTATATAGCCAGTATTATTAATAATTGAAGTATGGCTTCTTTTCATGTAAGCTCTAGGAAATACTCGTAAAATGAAGTGAAATGTTAAATGTAAAAATTTTTTTTTTGCATGTAAAACTTACAAACCTCAAACATGAAATCAATGTTTAAATATCACTTCATATTTGTTATGATTTTCAGAGGAAATATCTGTAAAAATCGTTTCCTCTGTGCTGGGACTGAAAGTGATGTGCCATTGCCATCAGTATATGGCCACCAGGTTAGATTCACCTCTATTCAGTTTGACTAGGCTCTATAATGTTGGTAGTGAAATTTTTGTACAAATCTATTCTGACATTAAAATCCCTTAAATGGATTATTCCAATATCAAATCTGGACCTATCCATTATATTAATAATATCTGTCATATTTTGCGGTTCGGATCGGAATATCCGTCCCGAGGTGACCCGCCCATGGGCGGTAACTCGGCAAGCCTTGTTACCGCCCATGGGCGGGTGACCGAGGGACGGATATTCCGATCCGAACTGCAAACATATGTCAGATATTTTTTCTTGCATATTCTACCATATTCGATTATACTTTAAATTATTTGTCTTTATTTTCAATGAAAATTTATATCATTACAACCATAACTACTTTCTTACTAAAGCGTATGAATTACAACTTCATTCATAACGGTAAAAATTACGTCATCCTTACAATGCCATTGTACAGCACGCGACTCATCTGGAACCCCCCATGCCAGATGAAATTTCCGGCATGGGTAAAACTAACGGAAACGCCAGTCTGATATGCAAGAAAAATTCATCAGGTTAAGAATTCACCGACATCTAGTGCTAGAAACCAGACAGATAACTTGTGATCTATAGAGAACCACATTCTACAATTATCATACAGTTGTAATTCTATTGTTTTGTCACCCTCTGATTTGATAAATGTTTCTTGGCGTATATCTAATTCATTTTATCATCTGATAGTGAAAAAGTATTATAAATCACTCCAGACATTATATTCCTCAAAGAATAAAAATTTATTATATTCTAAGACTAAATCTAATTTTTGATGGCAAAGTTAGAGAACAAAATATTGAAAGCACTGGTTCTGTTCTGAAACTTGACATGGTTTGGAGGTATGAACATGAGGTCCCCAGAAACTTTGACATTATGGTACTTTCTCTTGTCTCTGCTTTTCTCCTTTTTAGTTTTGTTTGATTATATGTTACATCCAAACTATAATGATTGTGTATGGTGATATTTCAGCCTAGCTGGCGGAGGAAGACGTAATGTGTCCCTCTGTGTATCACATACACAGAGGGACGCATTACAGCTAGGTACTATGACTTCAGTCATATGTGGGCCAGTCATATTGGGCCCAAAGAGTTAAATAACCCACTTTCTGTAAGCACACAGGATAGCTTACTCACATCAAAGTTTAGTTATAATAGACTCTCATGGGATTCAAACCCCCCTGGAATAAGGGGCTATTTTATCAAAATCAGCAATCTAAGAATCATGTTCTATATTATTTTAGCCAATAAATGTTTATTGTATCTACTACTTATAGCATGGCATAAACTTATTCAACATTTTTAGCATCATTTATAGCTATTTTTTACTCTAATGTAAAAATTAAATTTGTATAATAACTTAACTTTTATAGCATTAAGCTTTATTTACTTATTTTACAGACAAAAAATCATCGAAATAAACTAAACGTTTCCAACTGAATTTTTTACCAAAACAAATATTGTAAGAGAAAAACAACAACTTGTGCAACACTAGAAAATATGTCAAAAATATTTTACTACAGGCCTTCTTATACAGGGGAAAACAATGTCAAAAGTCAGTTATAAACCATTTATATAACAAGTTTTTTCTTCTCCAGCATATTGAAAGACAATCTTTCACTCCCATATAATGACATAATATGCCAATATATAAAACATTTATCTTGTTTGTATGTCTGAAACTTCTTTACAATTTGTCTGTACAACAATTTATTGAAACAGGGCTCTCACAAATAATCTTATATAACAATTATTTGGGTATGCTACAAGATGAAAACAATTACAATATTGAATATTGAGGGTATAATGAAATTATAATGTAATTCAGTAAATCAAATTTTCAAGTTGTTGGAATGAATCTTGAAGGTAATAGGGTGACAGACACACAAAAAAAGACAACTTCTTGATTTCAAATGATAGTAAAACAAGAACAATGGTATCACAGAGGTTTGCAAAGCTCAAACATGGTCTATGTGGATTATTACCAGCCTCAGGGGCTATGACCAAATCAGGCTCATACCCATGCCAGGTACAAACACACAAAAATGTAAAATATTTCAGTAAATCAGTATAGGTGCTTTTGTGATCGAATGATGGAAGAAGGAGCAAACTCGCACTTGTTCTTTCCAACCCCTAAAAAACTAGGGAGATGGCAATTTCTTTATAAATTATCAAGGTTTTGATTATATTTTTTGGGGTTGGGTTTTATGTCGCACCAACACTGTAAACATCATATAGGAACTTTCAAGCTTTAATAATAATAATAATAATAAAATCTTTATTTATAGAAGGTAAAGTCTTTACGGGCAGAAGAAGACCTCAGATGCCCTTCCATTCATTATTTCATTCACAAGCTTCTTGATTACATTTTAACCACCATTAAAACTGTCATAGATTTAAAATGCATTTGTTTCACTATTGATATATGGTAACTTAAAGAATTATACAGTAAGGGAAAAGATAAAATAAAACTATAAAGGTTTACCCTCTTTTTCTATAGGTCGCTCTTCCTCAGCACGCTCCCTGTACACAGTTAGGCGACACACGGGTAAATACTGGCTTAACACTTTCCTAGCTTGATAGTGGGATGCTTGGGTCAAATCTTCACTGTTTACCTAAACAAACAAATTTAAAATTTGTAACACTTTAAAATTATAAGTAATATTTTAAAATTATAAGAACATGATGTCATGATTTTTAATTTAATTCGGAGCCCTTGCAGAGGTGCGAAAATGATATCGTAAATTGAACGAGGCGATCACAGTTGACACCAACATGGGATTGAACACCAGTGTTGCTTACGTCATTGGCCTCTTATGATATTTAATTACCTTAAATTCTGCATTAATTAAAATTTTGTCAAATATGTTGTTGATTTAATTCTAATTAATTTGTTTATTGGTAATTTCAAGTTACCTCCCTTGCAGTCTTATCTATAGTTACAAATTCCATGAATTTAAATAGAAAATGAAAGTAGCATTGGAAATCATCCTATTAGCTGAGTACTTGATCAGAAAAATGACCAAGTACTTGAGTATTAGTTTTGGTATTCAGTGCCATCCTTACTTATTAACTTCCCATGTTGAATTTGTCTTCCATTAAAGTACATACAGCTCTATTCTTGGCTGAATGGTAACAGGCATGTTTTAACCAACAAATTTGCTGCTAAAAGCAACCACGTTTAGTTTGTGAACCTGGCCTGCATTTAAAACCATTCTCCCTATGGAGCTTTATGGATAAGCATAATACATGTAAGAATCATAGTTAAATGAATACCTCTAGTATTTGGTCTCCAGGTTGAAGTCTGCCATCTCTACATATCACAGTATCTGGGAATATTTCTTGAATCACAACACATACCTGTAATATACCAATATATAACAAATGCGAAAAACAAACACATTTATAATCAAATTTAACTTACTGAACCCAGTTTGTAAATGTTTGTTTGAAAAAAGTAGTTGTTATTTTCCTTACAAATTACAATTATATCTATTTATTTTAAATAAAACATTTCACTAACTTGCTCTCTTTTATTTATGGATACCTTTTTCTAATCAACACTGTAAAAAGTATTGTATGACAGCTTTAAACTTCTCATAGGATTTTACGTTAGGACACATTCATAAATTTTTTTTGGTCAGTGGGTTCAACAAGATTAGTCATGCTAACAATGTGTAAGTCATATACTAGTAGCAACTTACCATCTTTACAAATAAAGGAAAACCTTAGTTGCTTTCCTGTCCAGGCAAGAGAGCCTTTATAACCATAATAACTCCCTCATATTTTTTTTAATTTCTTTGCAGGAATTGAACCCAAAAGCAGTGAGTGGTAAATTGAGTAATGTACCTAATACATTCAGGAAAACAATGATCTACTTATATTTATTCTCCGGAAATTGTGAACTCCAGACATGATTACATAAATCTAAATTTCTGTTTGGTCTTTTGATTTTAAGTCACTATGACACTGGCAAGTTCATACAACATTTTTCGTGTTTTACTGGAAAATGGAAAATAATCTCAAATGACCCCTTTTTCAGGCATTAGCACATGAGTAGAACCATGGACTTTCTGTAAGCTAGATTGTTGCTTCCTCAAATAAAAGAAAAGATTTTTGACAGGATCTGAACCCCGAACCTTGAGGGGCAAGTGGTAATAAGTCATCAAATTTAATCACTCTGCCAAAGAGACCGTATTTGATTTGAAAATAAATATCAATATGTAACATACGAGTGGGGTATCACAGCCTCCAACCACTGACATTCCAAGGTCAGCCTGGTCCCTTTGTATCTCTATAGTGGACACTTCTCCACATAATACTGGGTTCTTTCCTGAAATATAGTAAGCAATATACATGTACTTGATGTACACAGATACAACAGATACCTTTCAAGCATGTTAAGACCAAAACTTAAATCAAGTATAACAAAGGTTGTGTAATCCCTAGCATACTTTATAATTTTGAAATCTTTATCATTGGAATTCATATTTGTCAAAGAATGAAGAAATTTTATCCGCATTTTCCATAGGATGAAACCTATCATCAATATGTTGCATGTTCTTATACAAATGAGTAAGTCTGTTTCAAACTATTATTTACCTGACTGCTGGTCCCGAAAGTCACACTCCCACAAATGACTTTGAAGAGCGCTACGTGGTCCTTGGAATGAACATCCTAGACTAGCCTTTATACACTTGGTAACTGCACCTCGACACCTGTAAGTAGAATACATCTAGGGATTAGTACTTCCAAATATAAACAGAATTCATGAATCTATAAATAGAAAACAAGTAAGCGTGATTGGTTAAGGTAGTCTTTCTTAAATGCTTTCCAGCAAAAGAAATTCTAACATCGCCCAATATAATAGCAAATTGGTTATTTCCAGAACGCTATTTTTTCAAAATCTTGGGCATTAAGTTATTTACAATCACTAATCCTTTATTGTGATGTACTAAATTCCTGTTTTAAACTGTAAATAATTATTGAGTACTGAATATTATGAAAAATAAAATAGCATTACAGTATGACTACCTTAATAAACCTTGTCATCAGAAAATGGAAGAACAAAACAATGCCATCTACTTATAGATAATGCAGGTAAGCAAAGTAAATATTTACAGACAAAGGTCATGTTAGCTATAAATAGATCAGACAAAGGTCAAACAGTTTTTTAAGACACCCAAGGAATTTAATGAACGTTAAAAATCTACTCATTTTAAAAATGGATAGCATAGGAACTATAAATAGAAAGGGTTTTACGAATAAACTCAGCTAATATACAGAAAACTATCAAGAAAAAAAAAATACAATTTTATTTGTTCTCATCATTTTGCAAGAAATCACACTAAACCAATTTAGCACAAACATTATGTCAAACTCTTGTTTAAATAGAATCTGACTTAAGTCTAACATGATTATTATTAAGCTGATATTACCAGTCTGGCATTTCACTGTGATTTACATATATTTGTTAGTTTTCTACATCTAAATATTGGTTTGCTGTCACCTTACTGGGGCAGTTAATTAATTCAGTATTGAATCCTCTATTTCTGCAAACCTTTTCATAGTGTGACATCATTTCTAGCAAATGTAACTATACTCTTAATAGATGTACAAGTAGTCCCATTAATCAAACTAGCTGTCACAGACAAATTCAAACTTTAACAAACTATCTTAACATTTACACTGCTCTGAGGAACTCAAAGTGATCAGTCTGACCTTAGGCTCTATACTGGTGTCTGACCAACTTCAAATTTTCATTTTGATCCTCCCAAAATTGTTAATTGACTGTTCCAAAAATAAAAGCTGGTTTGGTCCATTTTAGAAATTCAGAAGCATACAATGTCTGTCAGCCCTAAAGATAGAAATGTCCTGCATTTTCCATGTCAATCTTAAATCTAGGGAATTTAAGTGCTTTTACACTTTAAGGCCAGTCAGAAAATGACTTAAAAAAAAACATACTTGAATGTCAAAAAAAACAACTTCAAAAATCAACTTAAACACAAATATAGACCTATTGAAACATTTAAAATCATCACAAACGCTGCCTTTCGAAAAACTAGCTGAGACTTTTTCAGTAAGATGGATCCTCATCACTGTATAATTTCATCACTATTGTGAACACTGCATGCGAATATATCACAATAATTATTGTTCACCTTGAGAATTTTGTGGTCTCTGACAGGTGTGTTAAAGGAATAACAACATAATTATAACAAGAGCTGTCGGTAGGACAGCAACGCTCGACTATTCTTAGTGCTTGATAGTAAAAAAAGCCTTGATTAAAAGGTAAAATTTTCTAAGTAAAGAAAAAGGCAAAATTTTTCTATAAATCCATATTACAGTTATAGGCCTTGGAGAGAGTCCTATTATGCTCTTCCAACATGTTTCAAAGCCTTGTCAATGAATTTTGAAAATATTTGAGGTATTACAAAAACTTTAACGTAAATTCTAAGTCGAACAAGAGCTGTCGGTAGGACAGCAACGCTCGACTATTCTTAGTGCTTGATAGTAAAAAAAATGCTTGTTACAGTTACCTCCTCCTGTTTACAGGTTGGGGTCATGATGGTGAACAAGTGTGCAAAATTTCAAAGCCATATGTCAATGGACTTTGAAAATATTTGAACTATTACAAAAACTTTAACGTAAATTCTAAGTCGAAAAAAAGGGGCATAATTCTGTCAAAATGCTTGATAGAGTTACCTCCTCCTGTCTACAGGTTGGGGTCATGATGGTGAACAAGTGTGCAAAGTTTCAAAGCCATATGTCAATGGACTTTGAAAATATTTGAACTATTACAAAAACTTTAAGGTAAATTCTAAGTCGAAAAAAAGGGGCATAATTCTGTCAAAATGCTTGATAGAGTTACCTCCTCCTGTCTACAGGTTGGGGTCATGATCGTGAACAAGTGTGCAAAGTTTCAAAGCCATATGTCAATGGACTTTGAAAATATTTGAACTATTACAAAAACTTTAACGTAAATTCTAAGTCGAAAAAGGGGCATAATTCTGTCAAAATGCTTGATAGAGTTACCTCCTCCTGTCTACAGGTTGGGGTCATGATGGTGAACAAGTGTGCAAAGTTTCAAAGCCATATGTCAATGGACTTTGAAAATATTTGAACTATTACAAAAACTTTAACGTAAATTCTAAGTTGAAAAAGGGGCATAATTCTGTCAAAATGCTTGATAGAGTTACCTCCTCCTGTCTACAGGTTGGGGTCATAATGGTGAACAAGTGTGCAAAGTTTCAAAGCCATATGTCAATGGACTTTGAAAATATTTGAACTATTACAAAAACTTTAACGTAAATTCTAAGTCGAAAAAGGGGCATAATTCTGTCAAAATGCTTGATAGAGTTACCTCCTCCTGTCTACAGGTTGGGGTCATGATGGTGAACAAGTGTGCAAAGTTTCAAAGCCATATGTCAATGGACTTTGAAAATATTTGAACTATTACAAAAACTTTAACATAAGTGGTTACGCCGACGCCGACGCTCGGGTGACTGCAATAGCTCTACTTATTCTTATCGAATAGTCGAGCTAAAAAGGGGCATAATTCTGTCAAAATGCTTGATAGAGTAACCTCCTCCTGACTACATGTAGGGGTCATGATGGTGAATAAGTGTGCAAAGTTTCAAAGCCATATGTCAATGGACTTTGAAAATATTTGAGGTATTACAAAAACTTTAACGTAAATTCTAAGTCGAAAAAGGGGCATAATTCTGTCAAAATGCTTGATAGAGTAACCTCCTCCTGTCTACATGTAGGAGTCATGATGGTGAATAAGTGTGCAAAGTTTCAAAGCCATATGTCAATGGACTTTGAAAATATTTGAGGTATTACAAAAACTTTAACGTAAATTCTAAGTCGAAAAAGGGGCATAATTCTGTCAAAATGCTTGATAGAGTTACCTCCTCCTGTCTACATGTAGGGGTCATGAGGGTGAATAAGTGTGCAAAGTTTCAAAGCCATATGTCAATGGACTTTGAAAATATTTGAACTATTACAAAACTTTATCGTAAATTCTAAGTCGAAAAAGGGGCATAATTCTGTCAAAATGCTTGATAGAGTTACCTCCTCCTGTCTACAGGTTGGGGTAATGATGGTGAACAAGTGTGCAAAGTTTCAAAGCCATATGTCAATGGACTTTGAAAATATTTAAACTATTACAAAAACTTTAACATAAGTGGTTACGCCGACGCCGACGCTCGGGTGACTGCAATAGCTCTACTTATTCTTATCGAATAGTCGAGCTAAAAAGAATAAAAAATTTAATGACCTTTACTAAATATATACATTATTTAAATGTACAAATATATACATTATTTAAATGTACAAAAAATTAACAAACAAATCTATCCGATAGACAGATATATAAATTAATGACAATGGAAATTGATGGTTATTTCATTTTCTATTGATCTGATGTCATTTTAACCAAAATGAAACTATTGTGGCAGTATTGAATTCAGATCGAACAGTATAAAACAGGAAATTAAAAATGCATTTTAAAGGTATAATATTTCACATACACTCCAACTTTTTTTTTACAACAAATTGATTACATTAAAGGTATTACCAGTAGGTCGACCATACTTAATAATTATTATATTATACTCTCACCAGTTTACAAATGTATCTTAAAAAACATGTCTTCTTCCTTTTTAAGATGGGTGCAGTAAACAAAGACAAGTAAATTATATTATTTAATTTCCTAAAATTTTGTTTAAATTCAAAATTTGATTAATGCTTCTGGGGGATCACACTTTTTCCAGATTTTGATACTGTTTTCAATATTGTTATATAAATACAATATAAGATTTTAAGTACTGTTTTAAATATTGTTATAAAGATACAATATAAGATTTTGATAGACTGTTTTGAATATTGTAATAAAGATACAATATAAGATTTTGATAGACTGTTTTAAATACTGTTATAAAGATACAATATAAGATTTTGATACTGTTTTGAATATAGTTATAAAAATACAATATAAGGAAGAAAATAAATGAGCCGTGTCACGACAAAACCAACATAGTGCGTTTGCGACCAGCATGGATCCAGACCAGCCTGTGCATCAGCGCAGTCTGATCAGGATCCATGCTGTTTGCTTACAAACCCTATAACAAGTAGAGAAGCTGATAGCGAACAGCATGCTGATCGCAAACCTATTATGTTGGTTTTGTCGTGACGCGGCTCAAATATCTTATTAAAGACGTAAAATGAAACTACTCCTGTGAGTGTCAAATATTGCTCATCTCCCTACCATTAAATTAACAGATCAAGTGCACTAACATAGCATTAAACTGCCAGAGGGAAAATGAAGGAAAGGATAAATTTGCATAAAACCAACACTAATTTAAATAGATTCATATTTTCTTTCCCACCTTCAGGGATTGTAATGAGCATTTCTGTTTTATAAATATGAAGGGCAGAAATTAGACTGCAAATCTCGAGGGGCATCATATGCTGGATTCTTCCCCAATTATACCAAATATCATACAGAAAATACGAGCTTCTGCTCGGGGAATTTATTCATCTGAGTAGCCTAAAGAAAGATATTAATGAAATGAAAGTTTACTATCTCAATTACTGAAAATCTGACACTTGGCTCTGATATAAGGTATCTAACTACACAAATCATGATATTTCTCAGAATTATGTGATTTTTTTCTACTTTGAACCCTATTAATTGCTGGAATTGGAATTTTGT